AATAAAATGCTCCATTTTCAAAATAAAAGTATTTTAAAATTGCACTCGTATACCTCACAGTGTAAAATTTTGAAATCATCATCACTCTCACAGTTCTTCTATTCTCCACGAGTTCCAACTTTGAATTGCCAATAATTAGAGTCGGTATACATGCGAGTCACATCAAGAGTGAAGCCCTACCTATTGAACTTTCAAACCGGCTACCTATCGTGCAAAGTAAACAAACATTACGAAGCAATGAAATTAGAAACGTTATTTCGCGAGGCATCCTTCCTTTGACGGCTATTGCGGTATCATCTGCGAACTGGAAAAACACCCAACCGTCTCCGAGGGGAGGAATGTCGGAAGTGTAGATGCTGGAATGGAAAACGTGATCGAAAGACAACCGTTCAACGATACCTTGAACGACCTTTGCTGGAGGTAGTTACGGGTGATTTTAACCAGATGTAATGAGAAGTTGAAGTTACAAAGCTTGTACACAAGTCCGTCATGCCAAACATTGTCAAACGCCTTTTCAACGTCTAGCAAGGCCATAGCTGTGGACTTGGATACAGCTTTGTTACTTCGGATGTTATTCATCACCCGTACTAGCTGGTGATTGGTGGAGTGCCACTTCCTGAACCCGAACTGTTCCGGAAGGAGAATGTTGTTTTCCTCGACAAACTTGAGCAAACGATTGAGAATGAGTTTCTCGAACAATTTGATCAGCGCTGAAAGGAAGCTGATTGGTCTGTAGCTTGAAGGCAATGTTGGATCCGTACCGGGTTTGCGCATTGGTATGATTTTTGCTACCTTCCAGACGCTTGGAAAGTAATGCAGTTCCAAGCATCTGTTGAAGATAGCGGTTAGAAGAGACTGCACTTTCACGCTGAGTCTCTTCAAGATCAAGTTGAATATACCGTCAAACCCGGGAGCCTTCATATTCTTGGTACATTTCAGCGCTGAGTAAATCTGTAGTACTGTAATCTTATCGGCCGGAGGCACGACACAAAGTACAAAGGGAGGCATCTAGGTGTTGAACGTATTGCGCAACCTGATCTTCGAGCGGACTTTGGATAGTTGAGCCAAGCAACTGCGATGAAGCGACATGCTCGTCGATCGCATTTGCTTTCTCCTGTGGGGTGATTAAAAGCCGATCGTCATCATTTTCGATTCTGATAACTGGAACGGGTTTGGGATGAGTTTTCAGGACCTTGGCTGGTCTGTAGCGGTGAGTGATCGCAACAGCTTCCGTTTAATTTTGCCAGCTTTGTTTGTAACTCACACACGTGCCGAGACGAACTTGGAATGCGTAGGCATTGTTTTAATTGTCTTCTGTCGTTTCGCTTTTTCTCATCATCATATTGGGAGATTGCCGTAAAAGCGCAACGCAGATGTCACCACTGCATGATGATGATAATGTTGACAGAGTTCATACATATAAAATTCGTGAAAATTAGCATTTAATAATAATTTCCATCAAGCCTGCGTAAAATCTTTCCAATATAACATTCGAATTGAAGAAGGAAACGTTTTTACAATCAGACTGATGTGCATCTTTGACTTTTCCAGATGAACTTTCATAAGATTTATTCATTTCATTTCACGGCTCCATCAATGCTGCATCGTAAATATGATGTAAACAGAAGTAAATTGCTCAATTACTCAAAATGAAGATGATTTGTCATCTTGTTATCACTTTGAAAACCATCTAGCACCATTTTATAGTGTGGTGCGTGTTGAGTAAATAAATCAAGTTCCGTTGCGTTTTCCGTCGAAAATTGTGAGTATCAATATGTTTGCCTAAAAAAGGCCAGAATGAACATTCATTGAATATTGGCGTCCTATACAACCAATTCTCCATTATCACCAGCATGATACAATCTTTCCTAAGTAAATTCACTTAATTCCCACTTTCATCTTAGTGGAAATCTCACATATTAACAATTTTCCGAAAAATGCAGCTGCGCAGGAGGTAACCTCTCCCTGTGGGTGCAAACTTGTTATGCATAATTTTCCATGAAAATATCTCTGATCCATACCGAAATAATAACAGTTAGTTTGCAAACACGTTTTCTTACACGATTCAAGCAAAATTTTCCACGGGAAATTATTAGTTTTTGTTTATGGACCGATTTGGCCCAAAAATCGTCTGTTTTACTTGGAAAATTTGGAAACTATCCTCCTTCTAGTAGTTCACACTTCGAAATGTAGGTGGCGAAAGCTTGGAAAAGTTTCACTGCAAGACGCCAATTGCAGAAGTCTTCACTGTTTTCGTTGTGTTTTACATCATCAGCACCGAGTGTCACGTTTTGCCTGTGAGCAGCGACCATTACTGGTGATTGTTGTTTGCCATGGCTCTACCTCTCACTGCGTGACAAAACGTTCTGTCAGCGATACTCGGTTGATGCGTTGACGATTGTCGAGTGAATGTCATGATATTTTGCATCATTGCTGCCTGTTCACAGATCGGCCATTTCACGCCATTTTTGTCCAGATCTCCATTCCTCTGAAACTGGCGTCTACGTACATTTCTCAAGTGAATCAGTAATTGGGTATGGGAAACAATAGAAACAACTTACTCACAGGAACTTGTCAAACACATGCCTCGTCAGACACGGATATGGCCTGTTTGAGTCCTTCCAACGCCCGGTCGATGCCATCTACGGTGTCAAGCCACGGATCTTGGTCGATGCCTCTGTCAACCACACGTCCAAACTGCACCCAGTTGACGTGGTGGTAGTCTTTGTGCTCGCTTGGAGCTGGAGCCACGTTGATGTCGACTTCAGCTACCACCGGTTGGTGGTCGGAACTAAGATCGTTGTGCATCTCCGGCTTGTATAGTCCGATGTTCGACGTCAATCTATCCAGCGGGACAAACTTTACGAATTTCAAAGTTGATACGTGTTTTGGAATGTACCAATAGCGCACCATAGCGTACCTTCAAGGATGTTGAACGTACCTCAAAGCTTCCCGGAAAACTCGTGTCCCGCTGGATAGACATATACGATTTCAAACAATGACCAAGTCGATCGACCAGATTTCTACGGAAATGTGACGTACCGTAAGCGCTCTGGCTTCCGACTTTCTTCAGATGTTTCTTCCAGAAGTTTCTGCCAGCGTCTCCAGGAAGTTTCTTTCGTCTTCTCCAGGAAGTTCAATTAATTCTCCCAGAAATTTCTTTCGTCTTCTTCTGGAAGTTTGACCATAAGCCAAAAGTTTTTTGTTCGACTTCTATTGGAAGGTTTTTCCGAGCTTCTTCTCGCTTTCCCTGGAAATGGCTACTTCTGAAAATTTACTTCCGGTTTCCGAAACTTTTCTGGCTTCCTTTGGATGTGACATCCGATTTTTTCCGATAGTTTAGTTAAATTTTCGCCACAAGTTTCTCAATTCGTGTCTTGGAAGTTTCCCGGATGTTTTTCCAACTTTTCTTAGAACTTTCCTCGAACTTCATCCAGGAGAGCTTCTTTCGTCTTTCTCTGGATGTTTTATTTTTCAGCTTCGTTCAGAAGCTAATTCAAACATTCTCCGGAGTTTTCTTCCGGAATTTTCCGATCATTGTACAAAAGCTAAAATTTTGCTTTGATTAACGGCTTTCTCAGTCTTGAAACACTGCAACGACTACGATGTAATCTGCTCGACTTTTGGCCATGAGTTGTGGCCTTTTTCAAGGGAAAATATTGTTCGCCGTTATTGTCAATAGTTTAGTCGTTGTTGTGGCTGATTTTCCATATTTTGATTTCATTGAAAGATATTTATTTGAAAAAAACTACTTTCTCACAATTTTGATCACCACTTGAGAACAACGATAATTTAAAAAAATTAAATTTAAAAAAAATTAAATACTGTTTTAAGACTGAGTCGTCACCATAGTTAAAATTTTCGCTTTCATAAACGGCAAAAATATAAAATTAATTAAATAGTAAATACCGATAAATACCGATTTTTTAATACCTTTGATACCGATAAGCTTTAAAACAATCTGGCATCGCTGCTTCCCATCACACAAAGCAACCGACACTACTGAAGGCCGGCGCACAATAGATACGTTTTCAGGTTTTTTGACAGTTAGCCCATGCATTTTATCAGTCAAAAAACCCGAAAACATATGCATTGTGCGCCGACCTTGACGACGCTATTGAACTGGAAACCTTCGAACAACTCGACAGAGCGAGCATAAACCGAACTGTACTGCTTGACGGTCAAGCAAAGAATCTGATCTGATGAATTACTGTTTTTCTCTTGACGTGACTTATATACAGACTCTAAGGCTGTGAACCTGGGACTGTGAACCATTTGCCGAGTTAAACTTAAAGGCCCAAACGCAATGTGGACGGAAGCGGAACGGAAACGGAAAGTTTGACAGTTGTCACAAATGGCATCAAGAAGCCTAACCGATGTCGATTTGGTTCTAACTAGTTTTCAATCCGACAAGTAGGCTTACTCAGATCGGGCTTTTCCGTTGCCGCTGCCGTTCCGCTACCGCTGTCATTGCGCTTCTTAACTCGTGGTTAAAAGTGACATTTCGAAAGTTATTTTCTATGTTCGAAAATCCCTGTGCTGTCGATCGACCGGTTTTCGAGAAAAAACTTAGCCAAGGTTGTCAAAATTTAACTTCTTGTCTGTCAGAAGTAACCACGCTTGGGATAGCAGGGTTAATTGATAACTTTCCATCTGTCAAATTTTAACCAAAAGTTAAAATAATCCACCAAATGTTTCAGAGCCTAAGTATAATCTCACCGACTCCGACTCCACAGCCCACAGGTTGAAATAAATCAAATGCAAAGAATTGTGACACCCATTCTTAAACACCCTGTTGATCACGATCCGGTCTGTCGCGATACGATAACACCCCAATTAAACTTGAAATAACTAGGCTTTTCGAGTCAACTAGTTACCATAATCTGACTAGATTCGAAATGAAATATGTCAGACCAGCAACGTTGGGTGACTTTCACAATAATTCCCCACATTAGACGAACTCTAATGATTAAATTTTCCCCCTCTTTTTCTCGTTCCAGTCCAAGGAGACCTCTTCAGTACTTAGTTGTGATATATCGACCGATGACAAGTACATCGTCACCGGTTCCGGCGACAAGAAGGCCACCGTCTACGAGGTCATCTATTAAAAGAAAAACACAGTATAGCTAAAAGTGCAGCCCATCCCCCTGTTACATCGAAACCCAGCAGCCAGCAACCGTGAGTAACATCACACTATTCTCTTACTATAAGAAGACGCAGATCGACAGCAGCAAAAGCGTAACCCTTTCGGGACGGAACATTTCTAGAACAAAACAAAAAAAAAATGTTGGCTCATTTTCTACCCCGCAAAGGGTGTGGAAATTATTCATTGATATTTCAGTACACATGTTATAAATAGTTGATTCGTAATGAACAAATGATCTTAAATATAAAATTTAAGGAAATAATTCTTAAAGCTTTTCGGCTAACACATCTTGTTTCAAACTGCATGGATGCAATTAAATCGTCCTTGGTAAATTATGCGTTGTTGATCAAAACACGTGCGATCAAATTTGACATTATACAAAGTCATGATTCCGATTTCTTAAACAAAAACACAAAACAGTTCGTCTCGAAAGGTCAAATCCTGATTTGAATGTAAAAAGTAAAACAACCAAAACAAAAAAGTGACTTAAATCAAGGAACAGATCCAAGAATCTTATTACATACAGCAGCTGTATCAGTTCAGTTTCTTTACGCAGCTTATGAGCGATAGGGCGGAACAACGCTCGAGTAGACGTGCAGTTAAGAATTGATATCTTCTCACGCGCAAGCTCCTTGATTGGATACACACAAACACTTCTAGTAAATGAGCAAACAGATTACAAAAAAACTACTAATGCTACAAATGCTAAGTGGTAAGATTATGATCTAAGTAATTTAAATTCAATTAAAGGAAGAAAAATCAACCGAGCAAAGCACTCCTTTAATTAAACAGAAAAATCAAAGAATTAATTGTAGAAACTAGGTGGTAATCTGAAGCGTGTAAGAGCAAACAAAGGGAACCGATTAATTTAATTATCAAAATTCTTAGTGATTATCATATAAATTAATAGAAGAGTATTGTACAGTATTTGAGAAACTCGTAATGTTAATTATGGTTATAAGCCCTCTCCCAGTAAATAAAACCGACGAAAGAAAAAAAAAAAACAAAAGATAATGCAAAAACAAAACAAGCGTTGAGCGAGAGATCCCTCGAGGTTTCAAGTGGAAATTTATCTCAAATTTAACGGAAAATTTTAAGAAAAAAAACATGCTTGATGGAATCAAAACTTACATCTAATTGTTTTCTTAAATCCTTCTTAGAAAAATAACAAAAAAAAAAGCGAGATCGTGTCAATGTCATTTTGTTGCATTTTTCCTATTCATTTTCGAGAGAAAAAAAGTGTAAGATATTTCAACCTTTAGTGACCAAAATACAAAAAAAAGCAAAAGAAGAACAAAGCGAGCGATAAAGTATAATTGTTATCGAATCACCACGAATTGACACACAGAGAAGAACAGAAGCACTCGAACCCCTGTTTTCATCACTCTAACCACTCTAACCTAATGCTTACTAAATTCCAACCAAGGCAGAGGCAGAATTAAACAAATACAACACAAACACAAGATAAAGCGAGAGAGAAGAGAGCCGCATATGAGGAAGAGACTTGAACAAAGGAAAACGGAACTACAAACAGTGCTAAAACGAAAGGATTCTCAAAATTCACTCCCACACACAAGACTAGTGGTGCACACGTATCCTTGGCAAGGATGGGAAAGCCCAACTGGTAAATAGCGAAAAGTACAGCTTAAGACGAAACGACGGGAATTCTGAGAAAAAAAAACCAACCACACACTGGAAAGTTCAATATAAATATTATAAATGAATATTTTTAGACATGAAAATATTGAAAATTTTAGGTCGTTGTCACTTTATCCGAACAATCCATGAGTTCTTCAAAACAAAAATGACCCAGCACAAACTTTCACTCCGAGCAAATCGCATCCATTTATTTCATCATCACCACTCTAAACTAGTCCACACATCTCCATCCATATCACACCTTGTTCGCACTCTTCGGCTTCCGTCCCGGTTTGCCCCGGGGCAGATTGATCCACACTGCTTTCGACTTGCCGGCGGCGATCTTCCTCTCGTGCACCTTCCGGTGCTTGGCCAGATGATCCGAACGGGAGAAACACTTGGGACAAAAGTCGCACTTGTACGGCCGAATGCCGGAATGGGACCGGAAGTGGCGCGCCAACTCATCCGATCGGGAGAACCGCCACTTGCAACCGCTCCACTTGCAGTGATACGGTTTATCGCCCACGTGCCGCCGGAGGTGCGCCTTCAGGTGTACCGGCTTGGCGTACACTTTCCGGCAGGATTCGAACGGACAGACGAAGCTCGGCGCCGGTTGCTCCTCCGGCGTTCCCTGATCGTTAGTCGACGGATTCGGTTCCGATTTCCGCAGGAATGCATCACATGAATCGTCGCAGAGAAACGTTCGCTCCGGTAGCCGGAAGTCGTTGTCCCAAATTTGGCTAAAGTTGACACAACTGTACTCAAGGATGAAGTTCTCCACATGCGCTTCCAGATCTTCACCGATGGGATCAGCCTGGTTTGTCGCAGTCTTCGATTCAACGACCTCATTGACCACCAGATCATCTCCCTGTTGGAAGACATCGAACAGATCTTCGTGAAACTCGGTATAGAACTGATAGAACCCGTTGGCGAGAAAATCCTCTGTTGAAGCGTCAAAACTGTCCATCCTCAACCCTTCGACAATCGAACTGCAACTGATCATCGCCAATAGTCTGTAACAGACAAAAATTTCCCCGGATGATCCAGACATGTCGCCGGATGAAATTGATATACGACCGACGGACGACAAAGTCCATGACGTCTACCGCTGAACTGATAAAATGCACAACACATGCCAAATGACTTCTGGAAAGTGTACGACGCGATCCTATATGAATATCTAGTGCTACTCAATGTCTCCTGATTGGACACGAGCTATAAACCAGAAGCCCTTTTCGCGGGCATCGATCAGCCGAAATAATCCTCATCGACAGACACACGGAACCCCAGGAGAAAGAAGCAAAGATACGACATGGCTAATGACCTCTATCTACCGCGTGTCTTCCAGCTTCAGAGCAAAGCAGCAGCAACACTCTATAACAAAATAGCGACACGTTATCGCACTTGTTTTGCCATGTCGTTTATCCGTGAAATGCGACTAATGATGATGCCGCCATCCTCAGCCAAATCAGAATAGCTGAAAACCAGATGCACTATGCCGCTTTTTTACTCTCGATTTTCTGTCGGTTAGTGATAAAATCAGGCGCGTCGAGCGACGGTGTGATGACTTCCAGGAGGTCAGCTCTGTATAGTTGGCAGGGAATATCAATTCCAATGGACTTATGCTATTAACAACATAACGGTGACTTCCCAGACATCTAGAAGTTGTATAGCAATGTACATATAGAGTATCGTAAATTGCTACAGAATAAGCACAGAGAAATTTAAGTCAACATCGCATATAAGAATGACATTCATCGCATTATGTTTAAGTTAAACAGTATAGAATGCAAGTTTCCGACTTATATCCGATGAATAATTTTTTCATAGAACTGTATCACATATAAAATCCGACTTTTACTTTTGAGCGTCTTCTCTATTCTACGTGAAGCAGTATTGTGAAATTCGAATTTTTTTTTCACTTTGGGAGTAGGATTAACTACCCCATTTCCGGCTTATTAAGCACAACCCGCACTTAGTCTTTCTTACTCTAGCGCAGTTTAGCACCAAACGGAATGTTATTATCACTGATGGCTTCCAAATTTATTTACCTTTCTGTACGTACCGTAATATTTGATATAGAGAAACAAATTGTTTAGATATTGTTATAAGTCTAACACTGCTTCTTGACCTCAAACTCGGCCTACGGATTCTAAACTCGGCCTTACGCATTGAAACGCCAATGAATTCACTTCGGCCTATCGGATAAAGAAAAAAATTGATTCGGTCGGAGGACTTCTTTTGTTTGTGATGGGAATTATGGGTGCAAACCTTCATATCACGCGTTCTCATTGACTTTATTCGGTAGCTTATTAACTAAATTATCGTACCAAACGTCTAATTGACTTGTCGCTTTACTCTACCCTACTTCTGAAGCAATCAAGAAGTGACCGCAATGGGCCAGCACGGATTTCGAGTGGTGTTACACCAAGGAACCGCACGCCAGTCGAAGGAAGATTATCCTGCAAAAGTATCCGCAGATCAAGAAGTTTTTCGGATATGATCCGCGGTTCAAGTTTGTGGCTGGTGCCATGGTGCTAACGCAGTTTGCGATGTTGTTCATAATGAAGGACCAATCGTGAAAGATGATTTTCCTGGAGGGGTGACTAATCCTTTGCTAGAGCTCGCCTGTCAAGAGATTGCTCACAATCTGGCTTTTGGACATGCAATGCCGATGGCAAACCGATTGTTTGGATTTTTCTGCAACCTCCCGATCGGAGGAGCGGATGCATCCAACGAATTTTTTAAGCACAAAAGAATCATTACCAACATAGGAGAAAATTCGGTAAGATCCTTCCATTGCATTATTTTATGATTCTTCAATATTGTACAAATATTTACACATTACACACAACTACACATAGTAACTCGGAGCGTTTGGTACGGTATGTCCTTCCACCCCTGTAGATTCAAGAAATGTTCCCATTCATTTCCAAGAATCATCTTTGCGGCAAATACAACGCAGTAGGCCTGGCCGTATTGATGTTTATATCATATCTCAGATATGTTGTAAGCATCAATTAGACAAGAAAATGATTAGACCTCATCTAACCTAATCATTTTCCAGGATGTTTTCTCGTACTGGCTGCGTTTGTATTAGATTAGAACTGTATCACATATAAAATCCGATTACGTCGTAAGGCTTTTCAAATTAAATTTGTTGTTACAGATTAAATCGAATATGATGTAAATCAACTCGTTTAAAAAATATATTAAATGTGCACGTTTCGGTGTCTTTATCGCTAATCAATGTGAGGTGGTCACTGACCTGGAAATTAATAGGGTAATTTGCCTATTGTTGCACAGTTACGTACGCGATTTTTGCTATTTAACGATTTAACACGGCTGAAATCGTGTTCGAAGTAAGAATTCGTCAAGAAATCTTCGATTGCGATTCATGAAACATTTCCAGAGCTCATTTGCAATTTATATTCGTCAAAACTTTCCTTATAAAAAATACTTTGAATGTGTCTCAGAGCCAAATTTCTGCACGCACCATTCGCTTATACATTCTAGTATTGCACACTTTGTATCGAACTAGTGCACACCCATAAAATATGGCTAAATAATGCATCTTAGAATTTCAGCAAAAAGTATCTTTCAATCGTTCTGATGCATAGCTGAACGTTACTTTCATGTATATTTTACCCACTATATCCATAGGCGGCTCCAGGCATAATCCAAAGGGGGGCATAATCATATTAGTGCAAGTGATCTGTCTGATCATAATGTTTTATGAGACTGTGTTATGAAAAGTAAAAAATCATACAATATTGAAGCAACATGGCGTATTCTTATTAGAAATACTCATAGGGAGAGATGGGCGGAGAGAATGGTTTGAGGCAAATGAACTGTCTAAATCTGAGCCAATCGAACATTCCCATTAGAATTAATTTGAGAGTATTGAAATCGAACAGAAATTCAATCACCTATATGTTTCGTGTGCTTCTCAAATTTAACTAGTTTTTGGAATCAAAAACAATATTCTAACTCTATTGGGTTAATTGATCTTCGTTGGTTAATTAATAGCACCAAGAAATGTACAAAATATTGCGATGCAATCAATTATTACTTTGCACGTAAAGTGAATCAAAAATAAAAGTCATGTGAAATGCTAGCTTCTAGCAAGGGTTGCAAGATAATTTAGGTGCAAATCCCTGCTGCCGAATTGTATTTTGTTTTCTCCGCCTATCTCTCCCTCTGAGTATTTCTAATTCTTATTAACCCTTAAAATACATGATAACAATCAAGCATTAGAAATTCATTCGACGATGTGCTTCTGAAAGTGATTTGAATTCGTCCATGATGTCATCAACATTCAAGCCATTTGCTATTTCTTGCTCAACAAATGGTAGCATTATTGCATCTAGCTTTTGCTGGCTCATAATAGAACGTATAGCTTGCTTTTCACTATCGCTAGTTTTGAAAATGCTCTTTCAGCTCCACAGGAAGTCACTGGAATAAAACAAAACTTTCCGACAACGTTTACAAATCATGGAAATAACGCCTTTTGTCCTTCCTGCTGCGGTCGTTGAATTCAATCACGGTAATCCCCAGGACGCGTCCTCTTTTAGCAACTGTGCCTTGATCATTCTTAGCTTTGCTTCAATTCTTCAGCAGGTGTTTTAAGCATTTCTTAACTGCGTCAAATCGTCGTTGGATGGATACATGCCAACCAATTGCTGCACTGTACCAAAATGTCATCCACTATTCGAATGAAATCTCAGATCATTCAAATCCAAACATCGAAATCGCTTCTTCAAATGATAGCTGCAACCGGATGACGCCCAACAAACAATCGTCCATTGAAAAAATGGCTTCTTAACGATTTTATTGAACTGCATATTTAATAATACTTGTAAATTTTTAATGATAACTTCTGTTCAGGCTTTGTTCACACAAATCTGGAGAGTTTATTCAACCACAACATGGTGATGGTTAAGGTATGCCAAGAAGCTTTTATTTGGCTTCCATGAGTTGTAACAGAGCTTATTCGATCAAATGTTATATTATTCAGCGTTTATTGGACATCTTTGCTTCCTTCTTAAACAGCGATGATGAATATCATAGGAGTGGCACTTCGGATCAGAAAGTGGCTCCACATGTCATTTGCGAACACTAACGCACCTAGCGGTAGAAGGCATCTTCTGTCTGAATTTAAGATAGGCAGCATGCTATGATAGTGTGAGTGCACATAGAAAGCCTGTGTGGAACGCTACCACAACACATCGCTTGTTGAGCAGAAAAACTAACCATTTTTGATTCACCGATTTGTTTGTACTTCCCCTTCTGTTCTGTGTGTATATGCTTGATTATCATGTGAAGTACCCGTTTAAATTAAACACTACTATTAATTTATTAAACGATTATTCAACTGCAAGAAAATTAACCCAAAAATAAAGAACGGTAGAGAAACGACAGACAGAGTTGTCTTTTCATTAGTGATTACTTTCATTTATTTCTGACGAAGCACGCCCCACACACAGATACTAGAAAATTTATTACATACATATACATTAGAGTGATGCAAAATTTTAAATTTTCGCTCCACAATACTTAAACGATTCCAAATCCGATCCTGACTAACCTCTCAAAATTTGAACCCATTTGGTGAGAAACTAAGATGGCACAAACCATTTGAAGTTTGTATGGGAATTACTATGGTAAAACCAAGATTTTTGTTCATGTCTATCTAATAATTTACTATATCGGTCTGCTTCCCAGCTACAACTTTGCTGAAGACCACTTTTTGATTAAATGCAAGTTACGAAAGTTATTAATGGTTCAATGCACTGATGTCTTATGATCATGCTCAATCAACTGCTCAGCAGGCAACATTGGTGTTTCTGGGGCGTTGAATAGGACACAAAAATTATGGCTACTATGTCACACTGCAAAATACAGTGTTGCCTACAGAGCAGCTGCTTGATCATGTCATAAGTTTACCAATCTCTTAAATAATTAATATCTTTTTCCTGTCTCGTTTTACATAGAAACGATCTTCAGCAAAGTTGTAGCTGAGAAAATTTTCTATAAGAATAGCTATCTGTTTTGCAGCTCAATATGGAAAAAGACTAGAAGGCAATGTGCGAAGTCTGTTTCTAACCAAATGAGTTGTAACTTTTGGAGGCTAATCACGACCCGATTTGAAACCATTTAAGCACTGTCGAGCGAAAAAGTCAAATTTTGCATC